CAAAGATGAGTGAAAGGAAGAATCTGAGGATGAGGACGAGGGGGACGACGATGATGATCGTGGCGACAGCCACCTTGAATCCAGCAAGAACTATGCCAACATGGGTTTAGGATGACTAGCGCTGGGATTCCCGATGCCATGCCTTCAGGGCATTATGTAGGGTCATGACGAACTGTCTGGACTCTAGATGCGGGGTCTGCGTAAGTTCGGGGACTTGTTGGAGCGTAGGCTTCAGGAGTAAGGTCGAGGGCCTAAGTCTTGTGTGAAAGGATGTGACACGCAGGCGGCACATCAGCCCTCTCCAACTTCTACGTTGCGTGTCAGCGGCGGGTCTACAGCAGTAGCAGCACAGCAGAAGCAGCCTCTCGGCAGCCTGTAGTAACAGAACCCCAACCGTTAATCTGTTGATCCAGCTATCAGCCCTCTGGGACCAAAACGTGTGCTCCCTGAAGTATCCCGGGTAGAAACCCGTGCCTGTTCCCGGGACAGGAAAACACTCAAGAGTGTCTCAGGCTGTGTTGGATCCACCAGGCCGGGATGACATAGTGCTGCTATCCTCGTCGACTTCGCTTTGAAAGACTTGACCGCTGCCGAGGTGCCCAATGTGGTTCGCTGGACGACTCCCCAGAAGTCCACGCCTGCGATGAGCTGAATTACGATTATCAATATTGCAACGATTCTTCTTTTTATTCTTACTCTTCATACTATTAGGAACCCTACAGACTACAGTTTGGAGAAACAAAACAACACGAATCTAGGAACTGAGAGGGAAGGCTATGTCTGAGCACCAAACCCCTAAACCCTAAGCCGATAAATCCCTAATCCTCTGAACCCTAACCCCTGTCTGCGGAGGCCTGCCCAGGTTTCGAAACTCAGACTCTAGGGTTTTCATAGACTCAAGGTCCCAGTCTAGACAAGGCTAACAGGACTCTTCCGGCCACCGCCAGCACCACCGTCGCCCGTTTCACCTTTCCTATGACGGCTATACGCTTGTTCGTGCTGTTCGCGGATAACAACTTGTGCTTCAGCTGCGAATGGCCGCGTTCGACCGTGCTGAGACCAAGGTCAGGCGTGCAGTCAGGACGGAGTTCTCTGTTGGTCATGCAATGCGGCTAAGACTGCTAAGATCCTTTCCTGTTGTTCGCGTTGCGAAACACATGCCTGTAACATCTGCAGCAACAGCCTAAAAGCTGCAAGATCCGGACCACGACGACGAGGCTTCCACGGCTTAAGACTTATAAATGTCTTGGGCTTTAAGGTAAGTTTTTGTGTGATTTAGGGTTCAGGGTAGGGTTTCAGTTTGGGGTTTGGGGATGAGGGTTGAAGACGTAAAGCTTCATTTGGCAGAGTAGTTGGGACTTGGGCCGGGCTAGCGCTGAGGAACTTGTTTAAGATAACATGAGATGGATATGCGTTTGGTAGGGTCTTGCAGGGCTTCTTAGGAGTGTCGGGCATGGCTTTAGAGTTTGGGCTTCTCTGACAAGGGATCATGTCAGAACCAGCGAAACTCCACCTGATCGCCACGAGGCTCCGAAACCCTAATCTTGACCCTAAACCCGAAGCGCACGACACCCAAACCTGGAAATAGATCGCCTGGTCATGACATATTTCGACCGCGGCTACGGCCATGGCCATGGGAAAAAGCGCTCCCCTCTGTGATCTATGGGTTTTTTCTGAATTTTTTTTGCACTTCGGATGCGTTGGGCTTCAACAATCGTTGGCTGGCGTTTTGTGGCTTCACCGAACATCCCATGGCTCTTTGAACCGGCATTTACGAAGCACGCGTCTCTTGCCGGACTGCAGGGTCCGGACTTTGACTGGGTCCCTACATCCTACATGTAAGGAAAAGAGTCGTTTTGACAGCAGTCGGACTCTGGCAATGGTGACGCTAGCTATTGCTGATGAGTTGACTGACACAACCAAGGCTTCTGCTATCGTCCCTAAGGCATATAGCTCGTAGCGGCTGAGTCCAAGGGATTCTGAAACCCAAGCTATGAAGCGCAAAGAACAGTACATAGCTGCATGTGTTTGGCTGAACAAACAAACGTATATGAAAATGTAACATGTATGTATGCATGCATGGGTGTATGGGTACATGCGTATGCATATGCATACATTCATGCTAATACTGTAGATGTGTATTCTAGCCGTGGGCCGTTCAACCCGTCTTCCACGAAGTATGATGCTGAACCCTGTCAGAATAAGCGAAGGTGCAACTGATCCCGAGTGCCACAGGATACCCAAACCTCTAAGCCCAAAACTCTACACCCGAAACTTCAAACTCTGAACCCTCGACTCGACTCAGAGCAGCAAGCTCCCGGAAACAGGCCGCGGGGAGGCCCGAAATGATCATCCGCCTGAGGCTAAAACCCGGCAGTCCCCAAAAGTACCTCCACAGGAACCTCGAACCATAGCGGCCAACAAAAACTAAGTCTGCGAGGGTCAAAAATACCATGACTGTAAGGAGAGTCTAAGCGTATATCATTACAATACAAATGACCCTAAACACTGTAGTGTGGGGAGGCATGTTCCCAGAGTTGGGTAGGTTCTCCCGCTAAGGCTTTGCAGCCGAAGTAGTGGCGGGTAGTGTCGCTGCCTTCAAGCGCGTCTTCAGCATGCACCCGTAGTAGCAACGACGAGTTGCAGGCCGCAGCAACTCGCAACCAGTAAACAGTGATATCCAACAACTTAGTAATAGCAACGACTAGATGCACAATCCAGGTTGTGGTTAGTTAGTTGTTCTTCAACATTAGGCGGCCAAGTAGCTTCGGTTTGGTTGCTCGAAACTGTCGCGAAGCCCTGCTTAGGATCCTTGTTCATGCAAGCTCTCCAACCTCCTTTCAAAACATTGGGGTATCTGGAGCCCTGCAGGGAGGAACGAGCTTCTAGAGAAAATCTCTAAAGCCCTGCTAGAACCCCTTCCAGTAATATCAGAATCAGAAACCACTTCAGCCCTACGGTGGATGGTATAAATCCTGCATGAGTTTATAAGACACAGGCCGCTCCCCTCAAACCCCTGAATTTTAATATTGTCGAAGGCAGACGTGCGCGAATCGAAAGCGCAAATGATATAAAACCTGCATGACCTCTCCCCTAACATCAACATTGAGATTCAGGGGTGCGGGGATATGACTCTTTGGACGGTTCATATTGTGCTGGCTCAAGGATCATCAACAGTAGTTTCAGAAAGTAGGGTTCTTGATATAGAACCTTGTAACTTAATAAGACAACCAAAATCAGGAGCCACTTCAGCCGTATATTTCAGAAAACGACTGTTTTGTTAGATTTCCCGCCACCCCAAACCCGTAAACCCTAAGACAGTAGCTGAGGAGCATAGCAGCGCTCCGCGCGATGCGCGTGCCCTCGAGGTGGCGGGTGCCGCGCGCCAGGTGCTCCTCGTGGTCTCGGGATACCGTTTAGGCTTATGGGGTTTCAACGAGTATCAAGGTTTCATAGCGTTTCGGAAGGGTCTCGTAGGGTTTCATAAGGGTTTGGGTTTTTTATGGTTCAGGGCCAGTTTAGGCTTCGGGGGTTTTGGGGATCTTAGGGCTTGAGGATCCTTTTGGGGATCTCTAGATCTCACCGTAACGGGGCTTTGGGGCTTTAGACCTGCAGCGCTTGGGAGCTAGAGCTAGAGGGTTTTACTATGAACCTGTGTAGGTCTTGTCAACAGGGGCTTTTAGGGCTTGTGAATGTTTCTTGGAATTTTATCTTGTACCGGATTCAGTGGGCTCTCGATCTCGGGATCTACAAGCCGCAAAGGAGCTGCAGACCCCTGTTGCAGGAGAGTTCGAAGATAGCCCCCTGATGAAGCGGCATTGGGCTCTCTGGGAGATTTCGGGGCTTCGCGGCTCCGGATATTCAAGGTGCTATATAAACCCTACCTTTAGCCCCACGCCTACATGTTAAAAGGACTGAACGGATGACATCGTAATAACGAGCCTCAAAGATGTAGATCCGAAACCGATTGAGGTTGAGAGATAAGGAGGCCGAGAAAATTCCACTTGGGTTTCGGGTGTTAATACTGCAAACCTTCAAGAATGGCAATTACCACGAAATGTTTGCTGAGGTCTCGCGATTTGGGATTAGATTCTTGTCCTCCTTGGTCTGAGAGTGTCCCAGCGAGGGTCCGTTTCACAAGGGTGTGTTTGATTTGCTAGCGAAGCAAGGATGCCTTTCACCAGCCATTGTTTTGCGGGGCTATGGCTATGGCCTCAAGACAGTATTCTACACTACCCTAGGGCTCATCTACATAATGGGTTCATGGGTTGCATAATAATATTCGAATATTCGCCCACCGTTCAGGTAACTGGAGCCCGAATGTAAGGAATAAAGACCACTGGGGAAAAATAATGTTACAAATCACTAGCCCGACTCTTACATGATCGCAGCTTTGCTCCAGGGATAGCGCACGCATCGCCACTTTCATCACGCCAACAGCAACACAAAACAGGGGTCGACACAGAGATCATCGCAGAGACGGTGAAGAAGCCAGAGCAGGACTCATAAAATCGATGGTCCTTGTAACTCCAAACCTAAACTTCAAATCCACATCTTTAAACACTGGACATGATGATAGCAGGACGACGTAGTTGGTGTAGTAGTCGGAGTAGAAGGAGTAGTAGGGTTTCTCACCCTCCAAACCCCCCAACGCGTGTCAAGACCACCATTAAAAGCCCTGTGAAACCCTTACAAACCAAGAAACATCCGGAGAACCTCTTCCTTCAAGAGGCCTCAAGAGGTAAGATGAGGGCTCCCTTTATCTAAGGGATCGGATTTGGGATTCCCCCACCTACCTTCATCCCAAGTATGGAGCCTGCAAAACCCAATAGACTCCGTGTAAAACCATTTTCAAATCTGAAAGCTTAAACAAAGCAGCCAAATTCAGAATTGCCAATTCATACTCCCGTTTTCAAACACCCACTACAAAAACCCTATATGGAAGCCCTTCTAAAATCCGGACGAAACCCTCGCATTCAAGCCCTATCCCTTCAACAAGCGTGGCATAGGTTCCTTGAAGAGGCCGACTTCCCGCACGGTTTCGGAGCGGAGGCTCTGCCAAACCTGGCGGAGGGAAGCAGAGAGAGCCTTCGGACCAAGGTACTGCCAAAGGGATTTACAGGGATCTTGCCAGGTTTCGCAGATGAGGTGTTATCAGTGTATAATGCGGTTTTATGAGCTGCTACATAGGTCTTATGAGGTGCTGTTAGGTCTCAGGGCTCAAAAGTAGTGGCAATACCAATGCCAGAGCGAAGGCCTCAAATGTACGTTCGCTTCGAGAGCGGGGTTTGCAGTAGACAACTTTAAGGTGGCTTGAGGGTTCAGGTTGCTTTTACTCAAGGTTGACAGTATCCCTCGGCGACTTGCGCGAACCAGTTAGGTCAGCAGCAAAAGCAACCCTGAACCTCAAACCAGAACACACGGACCAGAACCCGCTTTTGCAACCCTGAGTTGGTGGGCAGAAGAGCTGCGTCCCAACTTCCCTCAAGCAAAGGTGGCTGTTGCGACTTCAAATTACCAAGGTCACAGACGAGAAGAGATCCCTCGCCAAAACCAGGGTTGAGTCGAAAAGCACACCCCTATAGCATATGGTACTTTGGCCGTATTGAAGTCCCTATATAGATACTTCAAGGTCAAAGTACCTACTATAAGTGCGGAGACCGGAATAACCCGCAACCACACAACCCCCGTTGCCGGAATACTTTTTACAGGGGTCTCTTACGCACAGGCTGGGGCACTTCTCGTTCTTTCCATCCCCCGTTCGGTTCCTCACAGCCCAGTACGGTTGTTCAGTACCGGGCTGCGAACAACAGGGCACATGGAATCTGCATATAGATCCGAAATATCAGGAGCCTCATTGCAAAAGCCCTAGACCAGGCACCCACTTGTTTTCAGAAAGCCCTATAAAGCCTATAAAACTATAAGAAGCTTGCAAAAATTCATACGACTCGAAATCCTGCAAAAAAACCCAAGAGCCGACCGGTTTTGGTACCACTCAGTTTTAAGGATGAACCTTATTCAGAGGCAGGGGCTGCTATAGAGGGGAGCCGAGGATTTTGTCTTCGATAGTAAGCCTCGCCCTTATTCTCTAGAACCCCCGTAATTAAACTTTGCAGTATTATCCGCTTATAGTAGTCCCTATGTAATTCTAGTATAATATAGCTCAAAGTTATTGCACATGAACGATGCAGGCCATCGCCGGTTGCGCCTTCTCCTGCGTCTCCAGGATCTGTTTGGCAGCCTCTGCCGGCAGTTTGTTGCCAAACTGTGCTTCGTAAGTAGGCTTCTTACTTTGTGGATTGCTTGAAGGATCCGAGGATCTAGTAAGTGAGCTGTTGCACTTGAGAGCTTCTATGGGTTATTGCAGGTGACGGTTCTCAGCAAGGAGTTAAGCGCGTTAGCTGAGCTAGAAGTGACTGTGACGAAATGAGGCTGTGCTCTTTGTAAGGTTTCGGGCTTCAGGGTTTAGGGTTCGGGGAACGAAGCCACAGACATCCACAGACCATGCTTCGTCTCTATGCAGCATGGATGCGACCTTCCCATGATCGAAGCAACCCTGGCCCTGAAAGCTGACATGTTCGGGCCGAAGGGGTACGCAGAAACTTGGATGTCATACTCTGAACAACAGCACCGGCTTGTCATGTCAAAGCTTTGCTGAAGCCTCCTAATGCAACAACGAAGCCAGAGCTTTGAAGTCATACAACATATAACTAAGCATTCACACCTCACACTTCGAGATCTGATTCTTGAACTGCAAAGTTCAATCGGCTTCAAGGAGGCAAAATTCTCACAACGTTGTTGAAATCAAAATTCGCCACACCCGTTTACAACGCTACGTGCCCTCCTAACAGTACAGCACACGGGAATTTCCCCTGCGCGGCAAGGGCCTTGAACCTCTTTCCCAGCCCCCAAATCCCCAACAGCCGCAGGGCAACGCAGCCTCAACACCATTGGTGCCTGTTCGCAGTGCGGCCGTGTGACACGCTTGAGTTTTGGTGCGGCTGGAGGACATTGAGAGGGTTTTGGTGCTGGGAGTGGTAGTAGAAGCAGGTATAGTAGATCAAAGCGTGATAGTAGCAATAATGATCGTGATAAAGAGGCAGCAGTAGTAGCACTAGAAAAAAAACCAAGGCAGCAGTAGTAGCACTAGCAGGAGTAGTAGTAGCAGTGGCAGCAGCAGCAGCAGCAGTAGTAGCAGTAGCAGTAGCCGTAGCCGTAGCCGTAACCGTAGCGGTCGCAGTAGCAGTAGCAGTAGCAG